GCAACTTACCTGTCCCAGATGTTAAGCTTATTGGTCTATAATTCCCAGTTTTTTCTTTGCAGCCCGTCTTGCATAAAGGTACAAATTTTGCTACCCTCTAGTCTTCCACCCATGGCTAACGATGATGCAGTTCTATCAGCCAGGGCCCCTGCAATTCCTTCTCTAGCCTCTTGCAGGGTTCCTAGATATGTCTGATCAGGACCAGGAGATTTATCCACTTTCATACATTCTAATACTTCCAACACCACCTCTACTATGATATAGAATGTCCCCAAGATATCACCACTAACTTCCCCAAGTTCCCAAGTCATTTTTTCTTGCTCCATGGTAAACACAGTAGAAATATTCATTGATGACCTCGTCCATCTCCAGCGGTTCCACACATACATGTCCACTTTGGTCCTTGACAGGTCTTATTCTCTCTCCAGTTATTCTTTTTGCTTTAATATACTTAAAGAATCTCTATGGATTAATCCTAATCTTCTCAGCAAAATCTATCTCATGCCCCCTTTCCCCATCCTTTAGTAAAGCCCTGTATACCTCCAAGGATTCCCTTGATCCCAGCTGCCTATTCCTGAGCCATGCTCTTTTCTGGTCAAAGTCTCTTGTCATCCATGTTTCCCTACTCCTGCCAACCTTGCCCATCACCCTCCCAGGAACACACAGGTCTTGAACTCTAGCTCTCACGCTTTTAAAGGCCTCCCATTTGCCAGAGGTCCCTTTGCCTGCATACCAACTACTCCAATCAACCCCTGCAAGCTGCTTTCTAATTGCCTTGCACCAATTTAGAACTTGAACCTGTGGACCAATATAACTATTTTAAAATTAAAAGAACTATGGTCACTGGTCCCAAAGTGCTCCCCAACTGTCACCTCCGTCACCTGTCCTGCTATTTCCCAACAGTAGGTTTTGCCCCTCTCCGAGCAGGACCCTCTGTATACTGCCTGAGGAAGCTTTTCTGAACACATTTAGCAAGTTCCACCCCATCTAAGCTCTTAACACTATGGCAGTCCCAGTCTGTGTTAGGAAAATTAAAATTCCCGATACGACAACCCTATTTCTTCTGCAAGTCTACGCAATATCCCTGCATATTTGTTCCTCTAATTCCTGTTGACTATTTGGGGGCCTGTAGTATAACCCCAATATGTCACCTTCCCCTTCTTATTTCTTAGCTCCACCCTTAAGCCTCACTGGATGATCCCTCAGTTATTTCATCTCTACTGCTGTGATGCTCCCATTAATCAAAAATACAACTCCCCCCTCCACTCTTTCCCCCACCTCTGTCCTGCTTAAAGCAGCTGTACCCTGGCACATTAAGCTGCCAGCCCTGTCTCTCCTTAGCCATGTTTCTGTAACAGCTGTAATATCCCAGCCCCACGTACCTATCCATGCCCTGAGTTCATTGGCTGTACCTGTCGGCCCCCTTGCATTGCAATAAATGCAATTTAATCCAACAGGCATTCGTTGCTCCCTGTCTTGTTCCAGCCTGACCTGTCTCTTGAACTTGCTATTTCTGATTACTGTATCTCCATCCAGCCTCTCACTTGTCTCCTGCTGATGAGGATTCCCCTACCCCCACCACCCCCCACAGCTAATCTAGTTTAAATCCTCCCTCCTGTCAGGATATTTGTCCCCCTCCAGTTCAGCTGCAAACCGTCCCTCTTGAACAGGTCACCTCTGACCCAGAAAAGGTCCCAATGATCCAGGAATCTGAATCCCTGCCTCCTGCACTAAAGCACCTGGAAAGCAACACACCATCCTGGATTCCCATCTGCAACCACAGAATCTCCTGTTTGTCCCCCTAACTATCGAGTCTCCTATCACTAAGGTCCTGTTTACCTTTACCCTTTCCCGCTGTGCCCCAGAGCCAGTTGTAGTGTCACAGGCCTGGATACTGCTGCTTCCCCCAAATGGTCATTTTCCACCCCTGCAACAGTATCCAAAACAGTATACTTGTTTTCGAGGGGAGTGACCACAGGGGATTCCTGCACACTCTGCCTACTCCCTTTGCCTTTCCAGGTGGTCACCCAGCTACTCCCTGCCTGCACCTTAGAATCATAGAATCCCTGCAGTATGGAAACAGGCCCTTCAGCCCAACAAGTCCACACTGATCCTCAGAGCATCCCACCTCGACCTATCCTCCCAATCTACACATCCCTGAACACTACAGACAATTTAGCATGGCCAATCCACCTAACCTGCACATCTTTGGACTGTGGGAGGAAACCCACGCAGACATGGGGTGAATGTGCAAACTCGGGACCCTGGCACTGTGAGGCAGCTAACCACTGAGCCACCGTGCCACCATCTCACTAAAACTCTTAGCTATGTTGCACTCAGCATTTTGGATGATCCTGAGAACATCCAACACTGACTCCCTAACACAGTGTCCCAGGAGCTGCAGCTGGGTGCACTTCCCAGAGCTGTTGACATTGGGGATGATAGAAGTCTCCCTGAGCTCCCACATCTTGAAAGAGGAGCATGCCACTGCCCTAACTACCATCTCAAATGCTCTAAGATGAAAGAGGAAAGTTAAAAACACTTTACCTCAGTTTACCTGTATTTTTTTTGCTAAGCCAATTTAAGTCAATTTAATTTGAGGAGTGACCAATTCAGAATCATCTGAACTTGGTTCTTCACTGTGGTATAACCACTTACACATTCTCCTTCTGCTTTCCTACCTGGCAAAATACTTTTTGAGCATATTCACGTGACACTCTGTGAGATTTTCTTTCTGTCTGGTGTTCTTATCAAATAATTTACCTCACTCAATTTCCTTTTGATTTGGTAAGGGCCACTAAACCTACCACTGGGAGTAAGACTAACAGTTTACTTCCACTAGCAAAATTACAAATTGATTTCTTGTCTGCTTCCTGTTTCATCATATGCTGTGCTACTTCCAAATGCTGTCTAGCCAGTTCAACCACTCTATTTAATCTTCCCATAAAATTTGTCACACAGCCTAAATGTATGGTCTCTGAACTCACCAATTTCTCCTTAATTAATTTCAGTGGTCCTCTTACCTCATGCCCCAAAACTAATTCAAATGGACTGAATTTAGTTGATTCATTAGGTGTATCCTTAATTGCAGAAAGTACAAATGGAATTCCTTTCTCCCAGTCTCTGGATAATCTTGACTATAAGCCCTCAACATGAACTTTACAGTTTGATGCCACTGTTCAAATGCTCCCCGTGATTCTGGATGGTATGCAATGGATTTGAATTGCTTTATTCCTAAGCTATCTTTAATGTTCTTAAATAACTTCGATGTAAAATTTGACCCTTTATCTGATTTGTATTTCTGTGGATAGTCTGTATCAGGTAGAAAATTTGCATAACTCTTCTACAATGGTCACTGGAAAATCTAGTAGGCCATCCAGATGCAATTCGATTGGTCAAACTACTTGACTTTAAGCAAAACACACTTTTTATTTAGTCCATATTTTAACTGTAATGTAAAAACAAAGAATTGGCTTAACGAATTCTAGTGAAATGCCTATCAAAAATATATGTTAACTACTAATAATTAACTGTTTCAATATATTAACATCCTATAAATGCACCCTTGGCAAAGGCAAACTCAGTAAAATAAATTGCTCCTACAATTGCATGTGAGACAGGAAGAGAACCCCAGCTTTTAGCTATAACAGAGAGAGTAAGGGCATCCACATCCAGCTTCAAGACCCCAGCAACTGCTACTGAAGGCTGAACCTAAAAAATAAAATCCTGGTTCTGTTGGAGCGTAACACTACCCATTCAGGCTGCTTCTATTGTTGTGATTTTTTTTTTTAAAAAAGCCCCAAGGTCTCACAAGCTGTTTACTTTATTGAAGTTGAAATAGACTGCTTGTCATCTCTGCCTCAACCTCTCTTCATTTAAAAAAAGCAGAACAAAATACACCTCTCAAAGCCATTGTATTGTGACAATTGTATGGCAGTATACCAAGGTGGGAGAGAAATAATATAGGCATGGGCTTTATTCAAATTTTGGAGAGGACCCATAGCCTTAATGAAAAGAGATCACTTCTCGTATATAATTAACCATGCCTTCATTCCTGCATTCTCAAAATCTTTCCAGGATATTTCATCCATCCAGGTAGATGAGAACTTTGTAATATAACTACCGACAAAGTAGATATTGTTGAGTCTATCAGACACGATGTGTAAACTTTAAATACCATTGCTAAAGTCAAAGCTAATATGTTAAGTAAACATGTCAATTTGCCATGAAAATGAATACTGAAAAAGACCAGGCGCATCCTCTATCTCTAATTTTCACAGGCTTCCCCGGCTAAAGATATTCAGCAGGACCTTAGGTGGTGGATTACATCATTGGTTTCCTTCCAAGACAGCTTTGGTCTACTATAGGAAGCATCAGTGCTGTTTCGTTGTCTCTCTTTTGAGATTACATTCAGCTTATCAAGTAAAAGATATCATTGGAATTTAGACCAAGTATTTTGTGTACAGAACTATAAATTACATGCAAAGCAAGCGAAGAAAGTAGGGTCAGAAAACACTAATGGAAATTGGTGAAAAGTAAATTAGAACAGAGACTTAGAAAAACATCTTCATTCAAAGAAGAGGATATGTTTGGAAAATGCCAATCAGCAAGCTCCTACCATTTTTTAATCTAAACTAAAACAAGTTAATTGATGATGCTTTCATGAAGGCAACATGGAGATGTCACTGATAACTGGTGTTACTCAAAGCACATCATTAAGATTTCAATTATAAAGTTAGAAATGAATACTTTGTTTTCCTGTAAGTTTGGGATCGCAAGTTGTGTCAAGTTTTCCTTTTTGTTGGTGGATTTAATCAATTTTACGTTCTAGACAGTGTGCTTAAATAACTAAGTGAGCTCAGTAAATCTAATTACTATTTCCATCTTTGTCAAGAAAGTAAATCCAAATTGGTTATCAAAATACTACACTTTATAAGCAAGCACAATTATTTGTAAGCATTGCTGCACTTGTACTTGGAGCTAAGCTAGTGTATGCGAAAATGGAAATTGACGTTAAGCACCCACAAATGGCCCTGTTAGTTGATGGTTACGAAATATCCCAGAAAATGTCATCCACATTCCTCTTGCTCTACCAATTAGGTGTACCTCCTGATTTGCTGGTAGAAATTAAATGCAACCAAATTAGAAATGAATGTTCATCATCAATGTGGGGAAGAAGATTAAAATTCTAGTGGGCATCTCTACAAGAGTCAAACAGCAATGTCCCACCTGAGCATTGATCTATAGTTTCTGTACCAAATAACTGTGTTGCGAAGTACGGTTTTTTATGGCATTTTAATGATATGCAAATATAGAAGATTTTTTGTTTCGTATTCCATTGTTGACTTTAATTTGAGCATAAACATAAAGAAGTAAAGTGTGTCTGTAGGATTATGTGACTGGAACATGACAGTAGTGCATTAAAACAGCACATGTTCTTTGTTAATTTTAGCTTTACTTATTCTGTGTGCATTGCATTTTTTGGAGACTATTATATTTCAGTACAGGGTCTAAAAATTGACTTTTATTTTGAAATCTTAAATGAACATTGCTTTCAAAACCTGGTGACACCAGGTTTAAGGTTGGAAACCAAGTAGATATCAAAAAAGGTCCACCTCACAAAATATTTGACACTAATAATTAAATGACTATTACGGCTATTTTTTGAAATTAAAGTTGCTCTTTTTGGTTGAAAACTTTGAACTATAAAGTATTTATTTAGTGCAATTAATAAAGCAGTTGACATTGCTGATTAAGTAATGATTTCTTTAATAGCTTGTAAGTTTTACCTGTTACTAACTGTTCGTTTGAGTCTGCTATTAAATGCATAAATATCTTCAGTCAGATGTTTTGATTCTGAAACTAATAGTTGTAAAAGTCATGCATGGAGATGAAGTCAGCCATATTAGTCGTGATTGGGCAGAAAGCAATTGATAATGCAACAAACTTGATTTCTCCTCCCCAGCCCCCTTGAAGTCAGGTGAGGTGTAAACTGTCAGCTGATTTATTAATATTTAATATCCCCTCACCCCACCCCACCCAGTGATGCAAGTTAGAAGTACCTGCTAAGTTTAACAAAATGTTTTCTCACTTCCGTTGTCAATTTTGGGGCAAAGTAGGGTGCAGTCTTCAGAAAGTTGTGGTATCATGGTTTATATTTCTTGTAAATTGAAATGGACCTGAGCTTCCAGTTCCACATCCTTGTCGTCATAATGAACAGCCAAATCTATCTCAATGCATTTGGCAATTAGTGTGCCAATGTTATCTCCAGCCTAATCCAATGTACTGCAGAACTGGCCCCCTCTCTATAAAGTTGATCTCATCCAAGTTCATCAACTCATTTGAATTGGGACTTTCCCATTTTACTATTCTTTCTATAAATTTTACACCTCTGTCATTGTTACTTCATTGTATTTAACAACTTCACAAAGTAAGAAGTCATTGCACTTGTACTTGTCAGAGGCTCTGAATATTTTGAGCATACTATTGTTGGGGCTTGAGTCCACTGGGGTTGGATGAATCCAAATTTCCTGCCAATGTACAAATGTGAACTTATGTAACCATTTTGATTAAGGGAGCTACATGATGCAACAGTGATTTTGATAACTGGTAAACCATTGGAGTTTCCAACTCTGGTGCTGAACATTTTGTGGCGGCGGTGGGGGAGAACTTCCAAATATAATATTGTAAGCCTGACTGAAGCAGCATTCTTTAAGTTACTTATATGTTGACATGTTGTACTGTTTGTATCAGTGACATTACTGAAATTGGCATAAAAATTGTGGACAATTTGAGAACAGGTTGTTCTCACTAAAACCACATTGATGCTTCAAAGTTTGTTTCACAAATATCATTTATTGACACCTAGAGAATCTGACCTTTAAATAATTTATCTCAATTTAGCATTCATCCTGAAGTGAAAGAACAGGGTGTTAAATCTTTGTGGTACAGTCGAATTGCCCTGCATTGTCCATGCAAATTTTAGTGAACTTAGACACCCATCTATTTTGTTAAGTAATCGCTGAGGATGTACTCTCACCTAATATATATTTTGTGGCATGCTTTAAATCTTTCGTCTTTACATCTAGTAATGTACCTTCTTTTTCTGGAAACAGGAATCTCCCCAAGATAGTGCAATCACCAGGGACATCAATCGAACTTTTCCAGCACATGATTACTTCAAGGACACTGGTGGAGATGGTCAGGATTCCTTGTACAAGATATGCAAGGTATCGTTTTGCCAGTATATTGTGGTTCATTTTTGTTGTTTAATACGTTTATATTAATTCTCAGGTTCAGCCATTAGATTAAAATCTATTTTTGGAAGTAAATAGGTATACAGTATCCATTAAAAATAGAGAAGAAAGTCTTGAATAACCTGGCAAATTTTCTATCACATTTCAATTGAAGAAATTGTGGTTATCCTCTAAATATAGCACCCCATGTTTCTTTTTCCTTTCCTATCTCCATGTAACTAATTTGCGCTGAGTAAAGTAGAAATTATATATTTTGAGATAGCAAGAACCACAGATGCTAGAGTCAAAGATAACACAGTATGGAGCTGAAGAAGACAGCAGGCCAGGCAGCATCAGAGGAGCAGGGAAGTTGACATTTCAGGTTGGGAGCCTTCTTCAGAAATTCTCTTTCAGATTTAAGCATTAAGCAGCAAATTGTGTTAAGAATTGGAAACATTGGTACAAGTGCATTTTGCCTTTATGTTTACGGGAAGAGGTTTTTGATACTGCAGCAGTTGCTTGCATGTTATTAAAGTATTCAGAGCAAATGGATTCCATGAAGTCTCCAGGGTAAGCTGATGATCGAATATCAAACAGAAATTTCTGTATATTTAGCAATCCAAACATCTCTGACAGACCGTTATCAACACAATAAAAACTGTCAAAACAGAAGGCAGTATGGAGCAGTGAGAAGCAATTTAGATCCAGTACATTCCTTCTGTATACCGTGTACAGTTCGCTGTTTTTATTAAGTTTTCTTTCTCCCAATCTTATGAAACAAGTGTCAAACTGGTGACAAAACCAGAAAGCTGAAGGAATCTGAAAATCATCATTGACCCCTCAAATGATCATAGAATATTTTGAAATAAGATGGCAAAAAGTCTGCAGCCTATATTCTGAAACATGGTATTACTTCCATCATCCTTGCAACATCCAAATCTTTTACCATGCAGTATAAAATTGCCTTTTATAATTGCTAAAACTAATGCCCAACTATGTTCCTCCAGGTGGCATAATCCCTTTTCTCACTTTTGCTTTGCCTTTGTCCTTAATATTACCTGTATCTAAATTATTCACGTATTTCATTATTTCAAAGACATAAGGTTTTGAGTTGTTAGGAGATTAACAATAGATATTTTTTCTATTGATTAAAGTATTAGATGCCTACTGTGCTGTCTACTCATCATGACTTCTTCAGAAATACCTCCCAAACCTGTGACCTTCACCATTCAAATAGTTAACTGCAATACCTGCACAGGATAACCTCTAAATTCACTTCCAAGTCACTCTGTTTGGACTTGATCATTTTTCCTTTATTGCCATTGGGTCATAGTATTGGTACTCCCTACTTAACAATAACTTCACCACACATGTTGCAGTAGTTTAAGAAGCCTACCACCACTAACTTGAGTGCAACCAGATATTACTAAGTAACGTGCAATAAATACACTCAAATTACAAATTTTTTAAAAACCCATCAAAGTTCTCCGTCTGACCAGAGAATAGCACAGGCAGACCAGCATTACTCATTGTAATCCTAAATGCAGTGACAAAGTAATGTAGACATGTTGCTCTGTTATAGGTAGAGGTGGTCACGAAAGGATAAGTGGTCACCATTTCTAGATTAAATATTTATGTAGTGTGTTTCCAAGTTGCTTGGAGCCGTTTTGTTTTATCTGTAATGAAATTCTGTTCAAGCATGAAGGGTCTAAAACATTAAGAAACTGGGCTAAATTGACTGAAACAAATCAACAGGAAATATAGTGAACTCGTAACTGAAGGCGCCAATGCCAGTCTTATCTGATTTTTCTAACACTGTCATAGGTATATTTGATTTTATAGAGTTTCTTTCAGGAACAAATTGTTCTATGTAGTTATTAAATGGTGCAGATTCAAGAGCAAATGTAAGCACTTAAAATTTTAAGTACTTTAATATTAGGAATGGAAGTCCACTTCCTAATGTCATTCTATTCTATTGAGCTACCTTGGCTGCATATCAGTGAAAATGGGCAACATGAGTAGACGTAGGACAAATAGGCAAATGAAATGAGTTGACAAATGTAACCATTGTTACTAAAAGTAAGAATCTGAATAAGATTCCTTAGACTTTAATGGAGTACTTAAGATATATTGTCGACGACAATCGCCAGAGTGGAAACTTGAAATTTCTTTCCACTCTGGCGATTGTCGTCGACTTGAAATTTCAAGTTTCTGATGTAAATAGTTAGAAATAAAAGTCAACAAATCAGAATCAACATTTTCAACTAAACTAGCTGACAAAATTCCTATACTTGGTAATTATTTATGCGTACCTTGTCTTGGGATTTCCTTTATGCACTTTGCAGCCTTGCTTTTCAGCTTTAGGGTGATACTTTCTCTTTGACTAAGCTTTTGGTCCTCTGAGCTAGTGTCTCTCATTATGTGACTTGGTGTTATACTTTGTTTTATTATGTTTGTGTGTAGCAATTGAAATGTTTTGCTCTGTGAGAGGCTGTACAACACTAACAAACTTGTGTCTTGAAGAAATTTTTGCGAACTTAAAGATAACTGTGCATTCAACGTAAGGTTACTGAGCTGCAGACAGGTCTGTCACAGACTATTGTAGGTTCCTGACATTTGATGATTCAGATAAAACCTTATATATACGTGGTTTGCTTCACAGGAAATAATAATTGGTGCAAGATGGCTGGCTCAGCATGCATGGTGAATAGCTTGACGTGTTCATTTCAGTTGTTTAAGTTGAACTGTTAACATCAATTTGATGCACTATACAAAAATCTGTGGCAAACCTGGCCAGAAGTGAGGTCAAATGCTATTTCCACAAATAGTATCATACCTTATTGCACAATAATTTTGTTGGATCTGTACCCCAGACAATTTTACTTTAGGCATAGCAATATTGAATGAAATGGGTCGATATTTACCAAATTGAGTAATGTTTAGAAAATGTTCTAATTATGGGTAATGTTGACTAAGTTACATTCATTACCAATCTCTTGTAGGGGTGGTAAACTTCCTTCAAGTTGACGTTCGTACAGTTAGGTGTCTACATGTAGATATAGTTGCTAATCACTCATGGAACAACAGGGATGTGATCTCTCCAAAAATCAGTAGTATGTTCTAATACCTGCCCTTTTGAAATATCTATGCATTATTCATTTGAAGTAGTGAATTTGTGTTGTGCCAAAATAGAAGATTTCTTCTCCTTTAAAAAGCTTTAAAAGCTTGCATAATTTATGTCAGCTAGCATTAAGTAAAATGAAATTCTTTCCTTCTAGAAAGAGAAAATCTGAAAAATAATTGAACATCCTATTTTCGTTGTTTCTGTTAAAATATTTGACCCAAGAAGTCTCGAAACTAAAATTGGAATTTTCTTAATTTATTTTCCTTGAAAATGAAACATATGCCTTCTATCTGCAGTGTGGCTGTAATTTCTTCTATCCAATCAATGTAACTCTCAGGTCATAACAAATATTTCCAGTTTCCACAAATGTTTGAATTCTATGTGATCTTGCATCCAATGTTAAACCTCTTTGACTAGATACCTTCCCTAATCCAAGACAGAAAGAGAATTAGTTGTGATTGTTTTGAATTCACTACAAGCATCTGCTGAATAATAAAGCCATCCTTCACTGGATAAGATTGCTCCACTGTCAGAGAGATAGTTGAGTATTGTGCACACCATGGTCGATTTGTTCAAAATTGCACATACAAATTGGTGGAGTTTCAGAACCAAATAAAGAATGTTCTAAAGAACAGAAGTAGTTTCTTTCTGTCCGGTGACAACCATGTGGTTCTAGGAGTTTTGCTTTTGTAGGTTAGAGTCCTAAGCCCTAGAACTATCCTTTTTCCACTTCAAACTTATTTTAGTGGACATTTATAAAGTATACAGTTTAAATTAATAATTTAAAGTTGTCTTTGAGTCCGATTATGTTTGTGCTTCTGATAAGTTGTTATTCGATGCTTTATCATGGTCAGCACTAGCTTACATCCATGTAATTCAGCCTCCTGACAATACTCCCTGACTGCCACTGGGGGCGTATTACTTGGTCTGTGGCAAGTGAGTTTGGTCATGTTCGTCTCACCTACATGATGGATAAGAGGGATGAAGAGACACAAATATACACAATTAAATGGGGCTAAAGTGTAGATTTCCATCACATACTAATCAATTACAAAGAAACTTGAAAAGAAAACAAATGGGGTAGCAGAAACCATTTTGTTTAACATGGTTTATGGTATAAAGTTAACATCAGAGTATGGGAGGGACTGCTCAAGTCCGAACAGCTTTGATTATTATCATAGCATTGTCTCATCCTTGTGTGAACCGATTTTTGTTTTCAAAGTGGCTTGGACAGACAAGCTAGCATTTCATAACCCTGCTGTCTAAAGGTTACAATGGAAGCAAACCACTAAACTTGGTACAAGAACACAGGAGCAAGAGTAAACAGTATGAACCATCGAGCCTGCTCCCATTCAGTAAGATTATTGGTGATCTTAGCCTTCAACTCCACTCTCTCACCTACTATCACCCTTGATTCCCTGACAGACCAAAATTGTGCCTGAGAGTCCTGAATATAATAATCAACGAATCAGCCACACCCTGGGTAGAGAATTCCAAAGTCAGGCATCACTTTTAAGGCATTTCTCCTCATCTCAGTCCTAAACAATCATCCCATTTCCTTAGACTGTGTCAGTGTTTAAGATTCCACATCCAGGGAAATAATTTCTGTGTCTACCTGGGAATTCAGAACCTTGTATGTTTCAATCTCTGTTCACCTCTCATTGCTATGAACTCCAGAAAGTGTGGCCTAATTTTTCAGCCGCGGTCCCCGCTCTCTCCCCCCCACCCCCCAACCCCCGCCTCCCTTCTCGGGACAATCATCTTATCCCAGGGATCAATCTAGTGAACTTGTATTGCACTATCTCCAGTGCAAGAACAAGGGGACCCCAGTTTACAAACATTCAACTTACGGATACAATTTCATACAGGGGTGTAATTGTAAAGACCCAACATACGAAACTTTGCTGTACTTAAAAATGGCTGCTTTATGTTGTCCTGCATTATGGTCCAACTTGTGAGCAGACTCCAGAACAGAACACATTCGAAACCCGGGAGCTGCCTGTATATCGTTCCTTAAATATGGAGACCAAAATTGCACACCATGTTGCAGGCACAGTGTCACCAAAGCCCTGTACATTTGTATAATGACTTCCTACGCTTGTACTGCAATCACTTTGCTTGAAAGGTTAACCCATAATTTACCTTCCTAGCTGTTTTTTTTTTTTTGCCTTTTAACTTTGTATTCCTTGTTGGAGCACATCCAAGACTTTGAACATCAATACTTGCATGTTTGATGCCTTTTAAAAATGTCTGGCTTTCTACTCTTAATGAGAATGAATAATCTCTCATCCCCTCAGACCTTGCTGCCCACTTGTTTAACCTGACCCCGGCGGTCTCACGCTATCTCTGTGTGTGTCCGTAGTATGGATTGTGATTAGCTGAGATCCGGCATTGGTCCTTTTTGCTGTCCTCTAGTCACAGTGTGACAAGTTGAAAATGCCCCAGTAATTCCTCCTGTCATCTTTCTGTTATTAATCAGTCCCCCATCCCTGTTAGTATTATTATCAAGCTCCACGATGCAATTCAATTATGTTTGTTTTGTTTAGATATTTTTATGTAAGAGTTTATTTTTCTGAAACTATAAATACAGAACCAAAATTTACCTTTTAGCTTTAATATTGCATAAATTTGCATTTCTTTTTAAATTGACATGCTTGTGAATTCTCATGAATGCAAGACAGACAGCTTTAACAAAATGGCTTCAGCAATACTCAAATTTCTGTGATACTAAATGACTATTTAAGATTAATTTTGTTTTGTGTAGATTTTGTACCATTAAATGTCAAAGAATGCTCAAGTTGAATTTTATTTTTATTCAGGCCTATTCCGTTTATGATGAAGAGATTGGTTACTGTCAGGGCCAGTCCTTTCTTGCTGCTGTGCTCCTTTTGCATGTGAGTACGATATTTTGAGAAGACATATTATACTTTAAACTGTTATCTATAATGGCTTGAAATGATTGTGTGAAGTGCCATCTTACGGAAATATTTTGTACTGCATGCAGGATTTTCAATTCAGCTAAATTTGTTAAGGACACTAATGGTTTGTCATAAGTTAATTTGATAAAACCTCACATTGCTTGTGCAATTCTGTAATAAAAGAAAGTTGCATTAAAGTTGGGATGATGCTTTAAGAGCATTTCAAGTTTGTTAATAACAAAAACAGAAATTGCTGGAGAAACTTTAGCATGTCTGACAGCATCTGTCACTGACCGTTCAGAGCATTCTGTTAATAATCTGGTCCATTAAGTAGCTTAAGATTTAAGCAGAGCATTTCTATGCAGTCATTTTAAAATGATCAAGTCTTACATGTTGCCAAAATGCAGTAAATAATTTCCGTAGTTAGCTCATTCTTAACCAGAAGGCTTTTTTCGACAGCAGTGCAGCAAAAGTTGCACAGCTGAAAAATCGGTTGTTAAACCTGCGGTTTTAAAATTTATTGAAAAGCTCGTTTTCAAAGATCTATTTTAAAAAGGATTTTCCAGCTATACTATTTAAAGATGGTGATTTAGAAACATCTTCCTTGTATTACAGTTAAAATACCACTTGGATAACTTGACCATTTCTGTAGAAATTCTTTCTGGTGAACACAGCCCATCTTAGTTTTCTCGTATGTAGTAACGGGCACCCAAATGGAGTTGGATTATTGATGTCGATTGAGTTTTTTAATCACAATTTTTGAGCTGTACAACATACTTTACCAAAGAAACTTATGATTATAAGTAACTATTTAATGACTTAAGTTTTCATTTGTATCATTTCAGATGCCTGAAGAGCAAGCATTTAGTGTTCTGGTCAAAATCATGTTTGACTATGGACTCAGGGAACTTTTTAAACAAAATTTTGAAGACTTGCATTGCAAGTTTTATCAACTGGAAAGACTGATGCAGGTAATAAAAAAAACGGAAGCCGCCGTTATTGGGAGTAAGGTACAGCTCATACTACGGTGTTCAGTTGACTTGTTGGGAGAACCCTGATTGGTGTAGAGATGACAAAGTGTGGAGCTGGAGGAACACAGCAGGCCAGGCAGCATCAGAGGAGCAGGAAAGTTGACGTTTCGGGTTGAGACCCTTCTTCATTTCTGAAGAAGGGCCCTGACCCGAAACGTCAACTTTCCTGCTCCTCCGATGCTGCTTGGCCTGCTGTGTTCCTCCAGCTCCACACTTTGTTATATCGGACTCCAGCATCTACAGTTCTTGCTATCCCTGATTGATGTAGCATTTATTTTACTTAGTGCAGCATTTTTACAGGATGAATTCAGAATGACATGGGAGTAAGTCACTTAGAACTGATGGAACCTTTTCAGAATCAAGTTTGGTAGATGTGGCATTTTAATGTAATAATGAAAACTGAGCAAAACCCTAGCCACAATTGTGCTTGAGAACAGCCTTTTTAAGCTTGAAACTGCTGAAGTGTTTGCTGAAACCATAGGTAATTAGCATAAGACTTAATGTGAATGATTTCTGTACCTAACTTTGCCCATGGAAATTAAACCAGTCACTCATGCTTTTGTTTGCTTAGCATTATCATACAGTAATTATTGGACTTCACATGTAGTACAAGTGGATCACTTTTCTGCTTATTGCTTCCTTGGAATCTAAGTTTGAAGTGTTGCTTAAAATAGGATGAATCCTAGAAAGTTATGCAAGTGCCATCAGTAGATTAAGTAACATTGTTAACAATTTCATATTTCTGTTTCTAGCTCCATATTTTCCATAAACGCTAATTTCCTAAAAGCAGTATTTAAGTAGATTTCCAGTGACTCTTCTCAATGCAGTGAAAAATTTTCCACATAAATAGTTTACTTTATTCAGTACATGAATAGCTTTGACCTGGTTATTTAAACAGAGTATTATGTTTTGATCTAAAATGTTACAACAGACCTACCTCTTTTTGAAGACGTTTCAAGAGACACCAAAATAACTGCAAAGCAAGTTTTTTTTTCTGGAAAAGCAGAATGTAAATTCGGATGGTAATATGAACTTTGTCAGTAGGGAGCTTCATGAAATAACCGAGTGATCCATATTAAAAAAAACTTCAAGATTGATGGTGCAGTGTCAATGCCAAAAGAAACACATTAGAATTCTATGTACTTGAATGCTGTTCATTTTTTGGCATTCCCTGATAGTTAAAGTAAGTCACTTTAAGATACTTATGCTAAAATATTGGTGAATAAGGTAATCATCTTGAGTTTTCATTGCCTAATTGTCAAATTTTTACAAATACGTGTTATTCTGAATCCGGTATCATTATCGAAGCAAAGCAGCAGAATCGGTCCAGTTGTTTTTTGACTGAACTGCCCAAACTCTTCACTGTCTTTTTTACACATTACATAGTAATGTAATTAGACCTTTTGGTTCTCATGCCAATACACCACTTAGCAGAAGTGGTCCTGCCAAGGCTAAGCACATAATAGCCCCAGCATAAAGGATCTGTTGTCTATTTGAAATTGGAGGCATTTGACTATGAAGAGATTCATTCCATGATTCAACCTTGATCAAAAAACAATTTCCAGGAGTTCATATAAAATTGAAAAAGCAAGTCTGAATTCCACTGTCTGCTCATATTTTTGAATAAAGAGATGAAAACTCAATCAGTTTTCAAGTTGCCAGTTGATAACTCGGTTTGTTTTAGGAACTGAAGTGGTTCCTGTGCATTTACCTCTTGTGATTCTGAGGATCTTTAATCTGCCCCCTTACTGAAGGGGTCCTTTCAACTTTACAAAATTTTGGCAGCAGTTTGTTTTAATTGGTTTTTGTGACCGCTTCCTAATTTCATTTCCTGTTATTAGTTTTAAATTCTTCAACTTGTTATTTTTCCATCATAACTTGGCATTTATTTTTGTTACTGTAATGTCCTTTGCTTTTTATCTTGTACACGAAAAGTAAATAAATTAGCTTTGTTTATTTTTGCTGTTGTGGAATATTGCTGTGTACAAGTTGGCGATTGCATTTCATTAGGTTGATTACATCTCAAAAACACTATTTGTTGTAAAAATAATCTCTGTGGGGCTCTGTGAAGTTGTTGATACATATTTTTTCTTTATTAATACAAGCACTACGCTCGGTTTGCAATAAACAACTGCACCTCCCAGTCGCAAACCATTTCAACTCCCCCTCCCATTCCTTAGACGACATGTCCATCCTGGGCCTCCTGCACTGCCACAACGATGCCACCCAAAGGTTGCAGGAACAGCAACTCGTATTCCGCTTGGGAACCCTGCAGCCCAATGGTATCAATGTGGATTTCACAAGCTTCAAAATCTCCCCTCCCCCTACCGCATCCCAAAACCAGTCCAGCTCGTCCCCGCCTCCCTAACATGTTCTTCCTCCCACCTATCCCCATCTCCTACCTACTAACCTCATCCCGCCCCCTTGACCTGTCCGTCCTCCCTGGACTGACCTATCTCCTCCCTAACTCCCCACCTGCACTCACCTTTACTGGCTCCATCCCCGCCTCTTGGCCTGTCTGTTTCCTCTCCACCTATCCTCTCCTCTATCCATCTTCTATCCACCTCCCCCTCTCTCCCTATTTATTTCAGAACCCCCTTCCCGTCCCCCACTTCTGATGAAGGGTCTAGGCCCGAAACGTCAGCCTTTCTGCTCCTATGACACTGCTTGGCCTGCTGTGTTCATCCAGCTCTGCACCTTGTTGTCTCAGATTCTCCAGCATCTGCAGTTCCTACTATCTCCAAAAAAAATGGATGTTGCATTTCACGCATCACTGTGTCTGTGACAACTTTATTGACAAAAGACTAGAAGTGATTTGTATTATGACTAGAAAGGGCTAGCAAAAGACAAATAACTTAGTATTTTTTTATTTAATTGGGTCGGTGTAATGAGTGTGCCTTTACTTCAATAATGGCTCTGCTACATCTGATGGCAAGAGAGCTAACTTCTATTCTGCTCTTATTAAATGCTGTTCTTACTTTCAGGAGTACATCCCAGATTTGTACAACCACTTCTTAAACATCAGTCTTGAAGCACACATGTATGCTTCCCAGTGGTTTCTGACTTTGTTCACTGCTAAGTTCCCACTCTATATGGTTTTCCACATCATTGATCTGTTACTCTGTGAGGTAAGTGTATTTTTAAAGGAAAAATAATTGTATCAATAAAATATCAAAGTTAATTTATCAATATTGGTTTAGGTTGTAAAAATCTTAAAGGGGCTTAAGTTATACTAAGTTGTACACAAGAATGCTGATGAGGGTTTTGTGTTTTTCTCCCACTTTTTGTTTCATTTTTAATTTCCAACTTTTATCCTTTTCCTTCTTTCATGTCTGCACTATTTTTAAAAGCTCACATTAGAATCTCACTATGTGATCACCTAGATAATTGGGACTGATTTAATGTGACAGCTCAGTTAGTGATTTTACCCCATTTGTGTCATGTATCTGCATAGCCCTGAACTTGCTATGTGATTCTTCCCATGCAGGTAACTAATTCTGGCCTTAAATAATAGTTCAAATAGACAATCAATCATTGTAACTTCTGGGAGGTATGTTTCAGATCCTCCTATATGTATCTTATCAGTCACATTTGTTTCCAAGGGAAATTTGAGAATAATTACTCTAGAAACAGATACTGATTTCTCCTTTCTGAGATACTGATCAGCTGCTATCAGAAAAAATACTAATTTGAGAAAAACAGGGAAGAACAGAAGATGAAGTACTGCAACCCAGTGCTGACAGTGAAGAGAAAGATTGCATTGAGCCGGGAAATTGTCACTACCATAAATGAGGAAGGCTGAAATTTGGTTGTCAAAAAGTAACATTTGCCCAAAGAATAATTAAGAAGCATGCATGAAACATGGGCTGAGAACTGTAGGGATTTCAAACATTTACCCCCAGAATTTTGTCAACGTCCAAAATTTCTTTTGTGGAAATGTTTACACAAATCTATAAACCCTTTGTGTGGGTAAACCATAAATAGTGACTATGACATTGTAAAGTCTAGCATTCAGTTTGAAAGGAAGGAACTTGGGTTGGAAATGACTGTGCTCAATTTAAATAAGGGTAATCACAAAGGAATAAGAGTAAATCTAGCTGGAGTGGACTGGGAAAGGAGTTTAGCGACAAGGACAGTTGAGGAAATTCATGGCTCACAGCAAAGATATACCCCAATTAGTGTTGTTTGACAAGGTAACAATCAGGATAGATAAAAGGGGAAGCAGTGGACATGATGTGTTTGGATTTTCATATGGTGTTTAATAAGATACCACATGAGCTTATGATGTTGGAGATAGTACATGAGCATGGATAGAGGATCGGCTAGCTATTGGAGACAGAGTTGGATTAAGGAAGGCATTTTCAGAATGGAAGACTAACAAATGGAGTAGCACAGTAATCCTTGCTGGGCCAAAATTATTCCAAGTATTTTCACAACTTGAATGTGGAAAATGAATGTATAATAGCTAAGTTTGTAAATGGACCAAAAATAGGTGGAAAAGCAAGTGGTGAAGAAAAAGAACAATCTGCAGAAGGATAGACAGGTTAAGCAGTGGGCAAAAATTAGGAAGATGGAATGTAATCTGATCAAATGTTAGGTTAAGCAATTTGCCAAGGAACATAGAGGAGCTGAATGTTTAAATGGAGAAAGACTGCAGAAAACCACAGCACAGTCCTTATGCATGAATCAGAAAAGCTAGCTTACAAACTCAGCAGGTAATAGAGAAGGGAAATGGAATGTTGGCCATTATTTTAAATTGAATGGAGGTGAAGTCTTGCTGAAACCCTACATAGCACTAATCAGGCAACAGCTCGAATATTATGAACAATTTTTGGGGCCTTTATCTAAGGAAAGATATATTGATTTTGGAGGCAATCCTCAGAGATTCAGTAGGATAATCCCAGATATGGAGGGACTGTCTTATGAGGAGAGGTTGAGTCTGTAGTCTTGGAGTTTAGAAGGATGAGAGACAAAGTTTGAAAATTCAAGGTTCTGGGGGGATTTGACAAGGTAGATGCAGGAAAATGGTTTCCCTTTGTAGGAGGTCTAAGATCAGAGGGCAGAATCTCAGAATAAGCTCTCACTCATTTAGGAAAGAGATGAGGAGAAATTTCTTCTATGAAGGTGGGGAACTGTGGAAATCTTTACCCCACAGGGCTGTAAAAGCAGCTTTGTTAAGTATATTCAAGATTGAGATTTTTTTTATAATCAGCAACCGATCAGGGGTTATGGAGGGGGAAAGCAGGTAAGTGGAGTTGTAGATTATCAGATCATCCATGATCTAATGGAATGGTGCAGCAAACTCTGGACTGAATGCCCATTTCTGCTCGTACATCATTTAGTCTAACCATTACGCAGTCCTCAATATTAAGCAATCACCCTATACGGAGTCATAGAGCAGTACCGCATAAAAACAGACTCTTCGGTCCACGTTGTGACCAGATATCCTAAATTAATCTAGTCCCATTGCCAGCATTTGGCCCATATCCCTCTAAACCCTTCCTAGTCAAATACCCATCCAGAATGTCTTTTAAATGTTGTAATTATACCAGCATCCAGCACTTCCTCTGACAGCTCATTTCCACACACGCACCACCCTCTGCATGAAAGGGTTGCCCCTTAGGTCCCTTTTAAATCTTTCCCCTCACATTAAACATATGCCCTCTAGATCTGGACTCCCCCACCCCACAGAAAAGACCTTGGCTATTCTCCCTATTATAAACCTCCATAAGGTCTCCCATCAGCCTCCGATGCTCCAGGGAAAAAAGCCCCAGCCTATTCAGGCTCTCCCTATAGTTTAAACCCTCCAACCCTGGCAACATCCCTGTAAATCTTTTCTAAAACCTTTCATGTTTCACAACATCCTTCCTATAGCAGGGAGATCAGAAGTCAATACTGTATTCCAAAAGTGGCCTAACCAATGTCCTGTACAGCCGCAACATGATCTCCCAACTCCTATACTCAATACACTGACCAATAAAGGCAAACATACCAAACGCCGCCTGCACCATCCTGTCTACCTGTGAATCCACTTTCAAGGAAATATGGACCTGCACTCAAGGTCTGTTTGTTCAGCAGCACTCCCCAGGACCTTACCATTAAGTGTATAAGTCGTGCCCTGCTTTGTCTTTCCAAAATGTAGCACCTCTCATTTATCTAAATTAAACTCATCTGCCATTCCTCAGCCCACTGATGAATCTGATCAAGGTCCTATTAAACTCTGAGGTAACCTTCGCTGTCCATTACACCATCAATTTTGGTGTCATCTGCAAACTTGCTAACCATACCTCCTATGTTCACATCCAGATCGTTTATGTAAATGACGAAAGGCATTGGACCAGCACCAATCCTTGTGGCACACCATATGTTGAAAGACTTGGAAGTTAGCACAATCACAAAACAATGCAAGGGCTGAAAAGTACCAGTAGATTGCACATGCAGTATTTCCTTTCTGAAATACAGCAAAAAAGGTGCAATAAGGGACAATATAGAATAGTTCCTCATCAAGTTGCTATTTTATCATGAAAATAGTTGTACTTTAATGTATTTTAACCACATGGTGGTGCTGTTTAGGACAATTCAGAATGATCAGAGATGCTCCTGAAGTGCAAGGTCTTTGTATGTATATCATTGTACTGAGTACCATGCATTTAATCTCAAGGTTTATTTAAACTGTGATGATTTGTTTGACATTTTTAACTTCTATCAAAAAGGCTCGCTTCTGAGTTATAAATATGTTTAAAATTCTTGGTATCTGGAATTCCATTGCTTTCGTTGCAGGGTTGATATTCCTTAGCTGAAGGTTCATTGTTAATGGTTTCATTTTTAGCAAATGTTTATTTATCCAAACAGCTAGTAATTAAAATATGATTTTGGAAACTAGTCCCAAGGATTGTACTTTTGTTGAAGACTTGCCCTTTCATTTATGCTTGATGATCATTAAGTTATGTACTTTTTCAAGCTCACTTGACTTTTCTAGTAAGTTTTATAGGACCAAGTTCCATGATAAGGTAAGAGAGATTTAATTTGAGGCTAGAGACCTTGTGTATACTCCAAGCATGCAGAATTTCATCATTGATTGATATAAAATAGTCAGTGAGACACTTTGCTGTTGAATAATGGTGAGCATTGCAGTATGTACTGTAAATGTTGCAGTATGGTACTTTGCCATCTATATATATTAAATAGGTTCTTCTATTATAGGTTTATTATCTCATTTTATTGGTGTTGACGATCCCTTGAGACATGGGTTCATCACTTAATTTTCTTCTCAATTCTTCCTCTTCTGAAGACCCCTGACTCTTTGTTCACTCTTCATTGCCTTACCTAAGGAGTTGTTATTCATTTGTGAGCTTTCAGTTTTGGCAGCTATTTAACCACACACGCTGAGCATGATCTGGGCCACAAGTCCACAGGAATTGCTGGAGTGTGATGAAGAACCAGAAACATTACTTCCTATTCGCCCCCCTCAAACCAAGATGCTCAGACTGTCTTATTAAATACCATTGCTGCATTTTGATATACAGGTTTTTAAAAGAGGAAGTGGAATTATCAGATTTCTCCGAATGAAACTGAAAAAAGGCTGTAACTTGTGGAGGAAGAAAGAAAGTCTTGACAAACTTAGTCTCCTCAAAATGTCCTAATATATTTCAAATCAGATGCATTACTTTGAAATTGTTTTGTAGGCAAACAAGATGGCAGGCAGTTTGGGTGGACAAAAACTAAATACAATGTAGGGATACATGGTGAGGACAATGAATCAATAGAAGTTTTTTGAGACTTTGAGTATTACTGGTCAGTTTAGTTTAGGGTGCAATGCTTAAGAGGATAAACTGAGAGGAAAGATCAGAAAAGCATATTTAATGTTACTTTAATTCAGATTTTTCACAGGTAGATTAGCAAAGTTCAAGATATAATTGGCCCACTAGTTTACGTGATATGGCAGAAATGAAATGGACCTCAGTTGGCAGAATACTATGTATCTTGACATTTTGTTTGTAGTGTCATGCAGCATGGAAACAGACCCTTCAGTCCATGCTGAACATAATCCCGAACTAAACTAGCCCCATCTGCCTGTTCCTGGCCCATATCCCTCCAAACCTTTCCAGTTCATGTATCTATCCAAACGTCTTTCAAGCGTTATAATTGTACCCATATCCACCACATCCTCATGCTCTGTAACAAAAAAGCCTCATCTTTTTTAAATTTCTCTCGTCTCACCTTATTTGTGTTTTTTAAAGTCAGCTTTAAGGCCAATATATGCAAATATTAATTTAGATTTAAACAGTTATTATGAAATCTTGTGTGTTTGGATCAGAGACTGTGTGTACATAATGTCCCATGCTTTATCAAGTGTAACTATATTTTAGAAGAATGGAAGGGGTCTCCCAGAAACCTATAAAATTCTAACAGGACTAAGATAAACGTAGAAAAGATGTTCCCGATCACTGTGAAGACCAGAATCAGAGGTCACATCTAAGGATACAAGTTTAGGCCATTTCTTCACCCAGAGAGTAGTGAGTCTATGGAATTCTCTGCCAGGAAACAATTGAGGCCAAAACGTGGAATGTTTAAGGAGTTAGGTATAGTTCTTAGGGCTAAAGGGTTCAAAGAGTATTAGGGGAAAACGGGAACAGGATACTGAGTTGGATATTTAGCTATGATCATGTTGCATGGCGGAGCAGCTTAAAGGGCCAAATGACCTGCTCCTGCAGACTTATGATTCAAACACAATCCCCCACCATCTTAAAAGCGAATACCTTGCAAATTCCTAATTTAAAAACCGTTATTTTGCTTAAACAATAGTGCAGCTAGTGTGCAAGTACTTCTAGTAAGTGAAGGGAGATCATTTATTTTGTCTGCTTGTCTGTTGAAATACCAAAATGGTTAAAAGAGCAATGTTGTTTAAGTAATATTGACTGCTCCTTTTCAGTCGCGTTTTTGCCCCCAGAATAACACAACTTAATATAAAACACATATTTGGCTATGTTAATCATGCACTGAGTGGCATTCAGCAAAAGTCCTTTTCTCAGAATGGCTTAGAGCTTGAAAAATGCATTTTAATACACTGGGAATGTATCAACATTTGAACAAACACTCCATTGGAAGCTCTGGCCTGCAGACTCATCTGTTTGGATTTAACAAGTATTGTCTGTAATATTGAATATGCCAATCTGTGAATTAAGCAATGCAAATGGAAATGCTGTTGAACTTAAGGCCGTCTTCTCAAAATTATTGCTGTAGTTCGTCTCTGGCCTAACAGAGTGAACTATTGTGCTGTTACGTTCTCACCAGTTAGTCAGTTTTAAGCTTACAGTAAAACAAAAATGCATTGGCTGGTAAATAAAAATTACAGATTGGTTGCACTTAATTAAACAATGTCTGGTATATCTTCAGATCCTGTGAATTTAAAATTAAATCATAAGTTAACAACTTTTTGAAAAGTGTTACACAAATGTGAATGTATAGTGTGTGGAAAAGTTAAGTTGAGAAAGTTAAATGTTTTCTTGCATAAGCTTATCTAAACTTCTAATTTTTTTTTCTAGGGAATAAGTGTTATCTTCAATGTTGCACTTGCTTTACTAAAGGTAAATGTCATAATTTCTCTTGTATATTGACAAAGTGGTTTAAATGAGGTTTATAATTGTCATTGTTTAGCCTACCAAAAGTGGACCATGGTTATTGAAAGCATTCTTAAAGTAAGATTAGCAATTTATGACTGCTTAAAGATTAATTTGCGTATAAACAGTTATTAATTATCTCAGGATCAGTCTGTATGCAGGATACTATTATTATTATTGAGGTGAACTTTGAATCATGTTGAATGAAATATACATTAATTGCATCTCCAATGAACAAAAGCAGAATTGCAAATTGAACACATTATTTTAACATATGCATTTACTTTTTCAGAAATAGTTTTTAAGATTTCACTAGTGGGCAGGATCTTGCAATAATTATTTATTTTGCTTGTATTGTTCTGAAAATACTGCTTCCTTCTAATTTGTGTGCAAACTGGTTGATATTTGGGGTGATTACTCAGAATAGTCATGCTCAGTGTTTCAGCTCATGAGGATGGCCTGATTTAATGGAAGAGTCTGATTAGTATGAGGATAGTGATCTGAGCTGTGGGTTGGCACTGTCTTGATCTTTTCCAACAGTGAGCAGGAAGCCTTGTATGCCAAAATTTGATTGAATGCTGATTTGCAGTTCCACAGACTTGTTCTGTTAAAATTTCCTTTGCAGACTTCAAAAGATGATCTTCTATTGACGGACTTTGAAGGGGCCTTAAAGTTTTTCCGTGTTCAGCTTCCTAAAAGGTATCGCTCAGAGGAAAATGCTAAAAAGCTGATGGAGCTGGCCTGCAGTATGAAGGTAATCAAGTAAACGTTTCATAACTGCCAGTATTCAGCCAAAAAATGGGCAGGGACTTAACTAGACTTGAAGGTTTTTAGTAGAAATTAATTTGATTTTTTTCAAAAAAGTTGAGTTGGCAGAGTGATGAAATGCTAAATTATTCTGGAAAATGCGTGGCCTAGCTAGGAGTACCTTTAGTCACCATTAAGCGCAACGTTAAATTTTATTAAATTAAATATATTGAATAAAACAAGGTACTTTGTAGATTTGCTTTATTCACGATCTTAGATTTATTATAGTTGCTTTAACAGTTATTTGAGGTCATTGGTCTTTTATCTCACTGATTGATATGCTCTCTGATGTTTTCCTAAAGTGTTGAGTCCTGGAAATTCTTTGCTTTTCTTCCTATTTTTATAAAAATTCTACTGTATTACATTCGTATCAGAAAAGGTTTTTTAGTTTGTTTCAATGCCCCCGCATCTCACCCATACCTTCCCTTTGGCTGTATTTTTGAGTCAAACCTAATCTGTGGTGATGGTCCCTTTTGCATACCGTGCAACTTAGCCTCGACGGAGTGCCAGTGATTCATTTGAATGTGGGACCCTTCAAAATGTGTCCAGGTATTTATGTACACTATCAGCGTGCGTGTGGACGTTCCCCGATGACAATCTCTACCTACGTTTGCTTTACCACCACGATCCCGCACCCCTACACCCCCCACCCCACCCACCCCCATTTGAGACTGCTGGGAAAGGAAATCTGGATCAGTGTCAAGCTGAATGCAGATTGGAGATTTAAACTATTTGTCAGTATGATTTTTGCCCGGTGCCCCTTACTGAGCCATCAAACAAGCAGCTTGCAACTTTGTTTTTTAAAATAAATGTGTTGATTTCCAGTTAGAATCACAGAACACTTTTATATAGGTGCCCACTGCTGAGAGCTTACTACTTTAGATAAGTAATTTGTTTGTCTAATGATCTTAATTTAGTATAGAAGTGTAAACTTAAAAAAACTAACCCACTGAATATTTACTCACAATATTTTCCTCAATGTTCAAATGCGCAGATCAGCCAGAAAAAGCTTAAGAAATATGAAAAGGAATACTTGGTAATGCGGGAACAACAAGCTCAACAGGAAGATCCTGTTGAAAGATTTGAGGTATGAAACAACTAGTGGTATCTACACCTAATATCTATACTTGAATGTATAAGTTGTTATTAAATCAATTATTGCTTCAAAGTCTTCAGTTAATTTTTTTTTGACTAATCAGTTTAGTGCAGCAAAGTAAGTTCTGTAACACAAGTTTTCAATTCATCTAGAAAAGTCACCTCGTTTATATGACATTGGTTACTTCAAAGGTTGCTAGGTGAACTTTTAATGCAAATGTTCTGTTTGAGCGCTGCTACAATCCCCAGAGATGTGAAAGATCCACAGTGGCCAACAACAGTAAAACCTCTTTGGACAATATAGTAGTGATAGGATCAATTTAGCCACTTGCTACAAGTTTTGTATTTTGTCTGCCTCTGAGGGCATGCATCAAATGTTTAACCTGGGTCACTTTCTCCAAGGCCAGTCAGCAATGTTTTAAGCTTAGCACTGGGAAATGGAGAAGATGTTACTTTTTTTCTTTATTTATTCACGGGATGCGGGCATCACTGGCTAGGCAGCAGCGGGCAGTTGAGTCAACCGATGCTGTGGGTCTGGATTCACACGTAGGCCAGACCAGGTAAGGATGGCAGTTTCCTTCCCTAAAGGGCATTAGTGATCCAGTTGGGTCTTTCCAACAATCGACAATGATTTCATGGTCATCACTAGATTCTTAATTCCAGATATTTATTGAATTCAAATTCCACCATTTGCCATGGCGGGATTTGAACCTGAGTCCCCAGAATGTTATCTGGGTCTCTGGATTAACAGTCCAGTGATTAATGCCAATAGGCCATCACCTTTCCTTAAAGCATTTCTGAATTCAGAACAAGAATGATGTTTTGTGTGTTATGGCCAGACCAAACCCACTCAAAACATGTTTAGGAGATAGCCTAAACTCTCGCTGTTTCCTTTTTAAACATAAATGCCAGGTGTTGTGTTCTGGGTGCAATTTGATAGGCCAAACTACCAGGCTTGAAGCAAAACACCCTTTATTCATATACTATAGTTAAAATTCAAACAAAATAAAGAAGGATTGGAATAACTTAACTCTTTTGGAAAACTTAACAGAATGGTGGACTATTTAACTACTAAACTACTAAGTAACATCCCATAAACACACCCTTGGCAAAGGCAAATTCAATAAATTAGATTGTCTCATAAGCAATTTTAGCGGCAGGAAGAGACCCCCAGATTGTAGTTGGAGCAAACAGGGATAGAGATGTAGCAGCTTTCACAACCCCAACAGCTTCTAAAAGCTAAAATAAAATCCCGGTTCTGTGAACACTTGACCCCACCCATTCGGCTACTTCTGTTGTTCCAACAGGCTGTTTACTTTATTGACTTGAAGCAGATCACTCATCATCTCTGTCTCAACCTTTCATTAAAAAAAAACCTCCTTAAAACCATAGTACTGTCACACTTGCTTCTTTGGTTACTTCTTTGAAGTGTATAATTTAGAAGTTTGGTAGTGTGCAAATTATAGGAAATGCTAAACCTTGAAAATGTAACAAGGATATTAATCACTTAACAGCCTTGAGGTAAAGCTATTACTTCTCTCCTTTGTTTTACATCAAACTTTATTTTATCTAGCAAACATCATGACTTGTATTCCAGAGGCTAATAATCAAAACCTTGCAAAATTTAGGAGATGCTGATATATCCTGTGCGCTTCTCTTCCTTGCCTGTTGATACCAGACTGATACCTGGGATAATGAGGCTGACATACGAGGGGAGATTGAATTTGTTAGGATAATATTCACTGGAGTTCAGAAGAATGAGAAGGGAATCACAGAAACCTCTAAAATTCTAACAGGGCTACACAAGTAGATACAGGAAGAATGTTCCTGATGGCAGTGGAGTCACAGAATAAGAATGTGGGCTTAACCATTTAGAACCAAGATGAGAAATGTCTTCACCCAGAGAATGGTGACTCTATGGAATTTGCTGCCACAGAAAGGAGTCGAGGCCAAAACATTGAGAGATTTCAAGAAGGGGTTCATGGAATAGAATCCCTACAGCACCAAAAGAGGCCATTTGGCCCATCAAGTCCATGCTGTCACTCTGAAGAACATACAATCATAGACTTGCATTTACCATTGCCAATCCACCTAACTTGTACATTCCTGGATGCTCTGGGCAAATTAACATGGCCAATTCACCTGACCTGCACATGGCCTCGACTCCTTTCTGTGGCAGCAAATTCCATAGACTCACCATTCTCTGGGTGAAGATATTTCTCATCTTGGTTCTAACTGGTTAAGCCCACATTCTTATACTGTGACTCCACTGCCATCAGGAAAATTCTTCCTGTATCTACCTTGTGTAGCCCTATTAGAATTTTAAAGGTTTCTGTGACACGGGGAGAATTTGCAAACTCCAAACAGACAGTCACCCAAGGCTTAAATCGAACCTTGGTCTATGTGAGGCGCAGTGCTAACAACTGAGCCACTGTCAGATATCGCACTTGGGGCTAAAAGGATATGGAGGAAAAACAGGAACAGGCTGTTGAGTTGGATGATCGGCATGATCATGATGAATGGTGTTTTGTGTTTCTATACTATGAAAAGAAATAACTGCTGAAGCTCAGATGTATTTTGAGCAGAGTAGCATGTTTAACCTTTCATGTAGAAATAAATAGTTCTTCAGCTGTATTCAGAGTTTGTGCCAAATCTGAAAAGGCACTTTGTTTCAACACATTTATAGACAGGACTTGTTAAAATATTAAGGTTAGCATGTCGTGTATTTGTGGTTGAATGATGATTTATGAAGACTAAAGAGTGTAGTTTATTTAGAGAGAGCAATTTAGAAAAGAGTATTTTTAGTCTGTTATTTTTCATTGTTGAACTGTCTGCTCTCTCCCAGCGTGAGAACAGGCGTCTACAGGAAGCAAATATGAGATTGGAACAGGAAAATGATGACCTTGCACACGAACTGGTTACTAGCAAGATTGCACTCAGAAAAGACTTGGATAACGTAAGTGTAAACTCTGCAGCTTTTTGACTGAACTGAAGACTGAAGTTACTGTTCTGTTTTCTGAAAACATTGTTTAATTCATCAGTAACTGGAAAATCAATACATTCTTAGGAAGTTAAATTTTAATATCTTTCATACCGCGAACTGAGTTGCAACTGAACTCAGATTTGCAGTTCATCGTGATAGATTAAAGAACGTAGTACATTTGATGCTGCATTGCAGGTAATAAAATGTGTGAATGTTAAGAGAGAATTTTCTTTGAACTTGCTGTATATACAAGGTCCCTAATATGCAATCGTGAAAACTTCCACAGGATTTCACCTCCTTACTGATTTGGCCCCCGTGTGATCAGTTAAAATTCCAAGTCCAATCTTGTCAGTTTACACTGATTATTTAATCTCTGTGCAGTTAACACCTGCCAAAGTGTGAAAGGTATGTCATGAATTTGAGTTATCAAGTTCACTTGTCAGAAACTTTTTCCATATGCTAAGACTTCATTTTTTTCAGGTGATGCCAAAGGTGAGAGAACTCCAAACTGTAAATCTGTAGAGTGTAGAGGATGCATTCATCTGCGTACAAGTTATCTCTAAGCAAATGAAGTGCTTAACGTGCAGTCATTAGCCAATCTCAATGGTTCACATTTAAAACTACTCTTATTTCAAATGCAAAATTAATCAAGCTTCGGAGTACATGTGCATAAGATGTTTGTACGTTAATAGGTTATGGCTTTCCTACCAGTGCTAAATTATACCCACTTAAAATTAGAACAATGTATGTCCTAGCTTGTAAGCCAGGTATTGAATATAATACCATCTGGTTATTCATGAAATCCTGATTGCCATTTTAGAGGATGCATTTATTGTAAGTAAGAGTTAGTAGTTGTTTCATTGGGTAACTGAAAAGTCAGCTGAGATAATTGGTTAAGTAGCAGATGTTGCTGTAACTAGCCAAACAACACATGAAACATTTAGAATTGGGGCATTTACTGCTTTTGTACAGTTCAAAATGTTCATTTCAAAAAAAAAAAAAATTCCTATGCAGTATGTTAGCGATATATTTTAGATTGAAGGAATGATGTAAAAATATTTATTGAATTGAGAATTTGCCAAGTCCCGGACAGATTTGAAGTTGAATCTACACATTCATGCTACAGCACATGATGTAGAAACTGGGCTTGAGCTACCACAGCTTTCTCAGGATGTTGTGTTAATATGGCTGTATAAGTCCAGTTTATCACGCAAAGTAGACATTTTTAATTGATGTTCTCTCAATCTACAGTATTTGTAGTTGCCCTACTAACTTTGAAATCAGTTTCTGCAGTAGTGCAAGCCAAAGTCTATCCCTGATTCAACAACACTTTATATTGCACCTTCAATGTAATAAAACACCTGAAGCTGCTTCACATTATTAAAACAAAATCGTTTGGGTTGATTTATGAATTCTGATTACTCTTTTTCTTTGACAAGTTAACATTAGCTTCCATTTATTTTAGTTCTTTCACTAGTGTTCAGTCCTTTGCTTGTTACAACAAATACGGACTAAAGGGTAATAACCTGCTTCTTGCCTTCAGTGGGCTTCTAATTTTTGCTTTGTTATTAGCTTTATGGCAACCTGCAAAACTCAAACATTTGTGAAATACCTTTGATAAACTAAAGGGAAATTTCCTAGTCCTCCCCTCACTCCATAAAGGATCCAAAATGAAAATAATGCAGCACTTCAGTATACTTTTACATGATAAAAAATTGTTACATTTGGAAGCTTTTCAGTCGGGGTGTTGAGGTTATGTAAAGTTTAATTCTCAAGATAATTTTATTACATTTCAGTTTACAGAACAAAAACCAGTCAGTTAGCCCAACAAGCATATGCCAGTGTTTGTTGTGCACACAATTCTCCTCTGACCTTATTTCATTTCGCCTTATCCTTTTAAACCTTTCTCCCTTGTGTGCATATCTAACTCCTCTCGTAAAATATCAAGAGTCATCGTCTCTCACATATATATATAAAATTATAGAAAAGAAATTCATCCACTCTATTACTCAGTCTGGTCACTGGTAGATTGTTTGCTTCCTGCCATAAGCACTTGCTCGTTCTTTTTCCAATAGCTGGCCATATTCTTTGCCTACCTTTTAGTTTATTACAATTGCCTTTTTTTTAAAAGGCAGCGACAACTTAACATTTCACACTCAAATGATTTACCTTCTATATTTGTTCCTTTACAATAGGCTTCAAATCCCTCTTGCACTGGTGAAGAATCGTATCATGAATCTTCTTGTCAAAATAACTGTCAGCATATATTAGTAATGTTATAATTCAAACCGTTTTAATTTTATTGCAGCATTCGCATTCATACATGGAAGTATCTTTCTGTTTATCTCCAATTTAGTTTTGCAATTCCATTTGTGAAGCATTTGCATTTTTTTCACAGTTTTATTGTTTCTATATCGTAATGAATTTGCTAAATTAGTCCTTTGATCTTATTTTGAAATCTCAGACTGTTGAAGCGTAGACTGAGTGTTAAGATTTACAAAAATCCATTTATCCCTACAACAGGTTAGGTGAAAACTGAAGTTAACCCTTTCCTTCAGTTATTTCTGTTGTTGGCTCAATATCTGTCACATCACCTGAATGTTATTCAGAATTATTCAAAAGTTAACATTCATTAAAGAATCAGAAAGAACTTGTTGAAATAGTTCCAGCATAGGCAGATGAACTGAATAGCCTTGTGTGTTGCAAAATGTGAAGGTATTTCACTCAGGATTTGCTTTCTTTTTTGAATGGAGCTTTATTTAGAATATTACCTATGAACCTAACATCATCCGGTTACTGAGTCCCAGGGTGTAGGTTTAAGCTTGTTTCACAAATAGCTTTAAAATCCTACAATTCTGGAGGATCTAAATATCCACATGTTATAATTTGTGAAATTAAGACAAAATTGAAAGCAAGTCTGGTTCATTTAGAAGACCACACTGAGTCACTGACTTGGTGTGTCTAAATTCAGTTTTATAGCCATTCCCAATGTGTGCTAGACAGAGTTGAAACATCACCTGAATAGCAAAAAATAAAATCTGCTCTTGGGCTGCAATTAATCTTTTTTTTAAAGACATTCTTCTGGTTCACCTTGGTTCTGATTCTGGCATTGTAAGTTTAAATGTTTTATAGTTGGATCTCGCAATGAATCACAGCAGTTCCGTTTTATCTGTAGGATAAAATGTCATTTTGCCAGACGGTAATTGAATAAGGAACAGCAGTTTTCACAAACAGTATTGCTTATTAAAATCAATACCTCCTTTTTTTAAAAAAATCTGTCTAGTATTGTCAGTCTTTCTTTTGAAGTAAGGAGGTCATGAATGCCTGGTCAATAACTAACTAATATGGAAATGTTGAGAGTGGAAATTACTTTCCACTCATATAACTCATGTAGTCAAAGAAGGAAAGGCACTTCGAGAAAGTCATGAGACTGTTAACTAAAATTTTAATTTCATGGATTTGAAGGCAAATTATTGACCTCTTAGGAAATTGCCTGAATGGCATGAGACAATAGGGAAAATGGGCAGATTTTGGAAGGATGTGGATAGTGGTGCCTCCAAGATCTGTATTGTGGCCTCAACTGTTCCCTTATTAGCTATTTAGGTGATGGAAGAGAGAGCCACATATCTATATCTGCTAATGATGTAAAGGTGTACAGAACTGTCATGAATGTGGATAGAATGAGAGTAAATGTGAGAACAATCGAGGGCATTTTCTGAATGCTGGAAATCTTGAAATGGTGAAGTTCCAGGTTTAAAGGTGATTTAAAATGGCACGAAAAGATACATAAAATCAAAAATGCCAATGCAATACTTGCCTTTATATCTAGAGGCGTAAAATGCAAGGGTGTATCAATCACACAAATCCTTTGTTAAAACACAACATGAATACTGAGAGCAATTCTGACACTATCCTTAAGAAAGCTTTATCAGCCCCGGGTGGTGCACAGTATAAATTTGCCTCAATGCTGCCTGCCCTCTAAAGGGTTATATTATGAGAAGAGATTACACAAATTAGGATGTATTCCCTGGAATGTAAAAGCTTGAGGAATGATTTGATCAAAGTTTGTAAGGTAGCAAGGAAGAGGTAGGGTAGGTAGACTCGTTAGGGACTTGATTATGGGTCTGTAATATTTTATACTTTCAAATGTGAAACGAGAGAACCCTTGACACAAGGATGGTAGAAATTTGGAATTCTGGAAACAGAAAATTGCTGTATCAACAGTTAAATCTACCTGAGATTTAGAATTGTGTTAACCACAGGTATTAGGGCTTATGTGTAAGGCACATGGAATTGGACTGCAAATCAGCTAAGGTCTCATTAATTGATGGAACAAGCTCAAGGGACTAAATGACCTACGCCTGTTCCTATAAAATATGGAATGGATTCTGGTTGTTCTCATCGCATCTTCACATAATTATATTGAATTTTTATTGAAGCGATAGAGCGTCGGCTCAAACAAACTACACCATATGTAGGTAGTAAAGCATATGGTGGGAACTTTTTGGTTTCCTGTCAAATAGCTTGGTTGTTGGATTCTAGAACGTAGAAGGTGGGCACTTTGTTTTAGCAGTGTTGCAATAGCTTAGCTATTTGATTTAAAAGTGGAAAAACTTAAAAGTCCATGGAGACATTTATGGCACGGACAAGGATAGGGGAAAAAAGTCTTGAGCCCATACCATAACAAGAATTGCAACCTTCAGGAAAGAAAATTAGAGGGTAAGATATGGCTGATGTGGTTAAGGCAGTCATTTAAATGTGAACTTTGTGTGTAACTTGGTCTTTCATTATGTGCACTGCCAATTGAGGTAAATGTGTTAAATTATGAGGAAAGGTTGCAGAGTCTAGCCTGCTGTTCACTTGAGTCTAGAAAATTGAAAAGTGATCTTGTTGAGATAGTTAAGATTAAACAGTTTGATTGTGAAGTAAGAGAATTTCTCTTACTTTCTCTGATGCAAGAGTGTAGACCAAGATGGCAGAAACTTAATGCGTGAATCAGCAAGCACTTCTTCAAGTAAAGCATCACATATATCTTGACTGTTCCCTGTAAAGGTATTGAGAGATCATTTGAAAATTTTAATGCTAAGATTGATAGATTATTGTTAGGCATTGGTAATGATGATTATGGCAACAATGTGAGTTGATAGTTCATCTTTAACATAACTATAATATAATTGAATGGTGGAACAGCTATGCAGCTATGAATGACCTACTTTTTTAGTGTTCCTGTGTTAACCACATTTTTGATGTCAACCTCCTTATACGTTTGAGCAAAATGCCCTCAGCTGTAAGTTGGTTTGTAAAGTAGGGTTTTTGTGTGCAGTGAATAAAATTTTATAGCTATGCTCCATTGTGTGAGTAAAGAACATAAAGAGTAGATGTTGCTGAATGGATAATTTGACCAAATACATTACGTACCCAGTAAAATAAATGTAACTTCACTTACTATGAGCAATATTTAATGCTATGATAAAAGCTTTCCAATAAACTGTACTAACAACTAAGTTAAACTTATATAGTATGCTGTTTGTTTTTGAGTTCAACACCAACTAGATTTAATGTTGTAATTTCCAGAAATATTGCTTTATAATGGCAGAGCTTAGTTTAACAGTAGAAACAAAAAAATAGTAAAATTATTTTCAGAATTGTTGGAAATGAAGGTAAGCCCTGACCAATGGTGACAAACATGTAATCCAATATAGCTGGATTCAATATTTAAACTATAAGATCGCCACAACAATAGCTTAAAAACTAAATTAATGTAGATTTTGTTGACTTTTTTGACAGGCAGAGGAGAAAGCAGATGCATTAAATAAAGAGCTACTCATGACCAAGCAGAAGTTAGTTGATGCGGAAGACGAAAAGAAGAGATTAGAAAATGAAGCCACTCAGGTAATTGAATTGTATCTGTCTACATGTCATGTCCTTCATTGGGTCAAATGGTTTATGGTTTAAATTCCTAGTTTATAGAATGGGATTTCCAAGATCCGACAGTCTTGTTTTTTGTTTGTAGCCAAGATAGACATGGGCAAGAGGTTGTTAAATTTGGTTTTAGCATCTCCAGATCAGAGGTAAGAAACCTTGGTCACTTCCAAGCACCTCATGGTGATGGTATGAAAACATGATACAGGCTTGAAATTGATGTCCTTTCAGTTGACCAAGATTAACAATTACTTACTGGACAAGCAGGAAGAATACTTGGAAAGCTGACCAGAGAGTCACTGCTAGAAAGGATCTATACCCTACCTAGCTACTTGCAATTTTTGGGAATGAAAATCAAGGGGCAGGTGGATAAAAATGAGAATACTAATTGGAGGTAATTTTTGCGCAAAACTGTTGTCTTTTTGATCTTGATTCTTGAATTAGCATTTTAAGTATTAAGAACGTAAGAACTAGGAGCAGGAGTAGGCCGTCTGGCCCTTCGAGCCTGCTCCACCATTCAATAAGATCATGGCTGATCTTTTTGTGGA